GAGGGGAGGGGGGATGGGGGGACCTAAGCATCCAGGATTGCCCCCCTTCCCCTGGCCCCAGCTTGGGCAGATGAGACCTAAGTGTCCAGGGTGTTCTCCCCCGCCCACCCTCCAGCCTTCTGGGCTGGAAAGGACCCAGGTGTATGCGACAAGGCACCCTGGTCCTCATCCAGCAGCCTCTCTAGGGAGCAAAGGACCCAGGCATCTGGGATGCCTCCCCACAACTCTGCAAATCATCCAGGGGAGTTGGGACCCAAGTGCTCAGGCCTTCTCCCTCCAACCCCAGAGAGTGTACCCAGGCATCCAGGCCTAAGTCTGTTCTTTCCCTCTACCCACAGAGTGCCTGGCTGGGATCCAAGCACACCCCCCTGCATCCTAAAACAGTGGATGCGGGCATCCTGGCCCACCCCCACCCTCAATCCCTGGCCAAGTTGCAGGTGCCTAGGCCCCACCTACTCTAAGCCATTGGACCCAGGCATCCAGGCACCTCCCAGAGAGTGGACCCAGGTGTCCAGGTCTGCCCCCACTCTCGCCCTTTACCCGTAGAGAAGCTGGCTGGTACCCAGGTGCCCAAGCTGCCACACCCTCTCCCCCTACCCCTAGGCAGTGAACCCAGGTGTTCAGGTCTGCCCCAACCCTCACCCTCTACACCCAGAGAGCCTGGCTGGGACCCAATTGTTCAGGCCCCACCTACCATCAAACAATAGACCCAGGTGTCTGGGCCTGTCCTAGGCAATGGGCCTCTCCCTCTACCCCCACACAGTGGACCCAGGTGTTCAGGCTCCCCCTCCATCTCCCCCCAGAGAGCTGAGCTGGGACCCAGGTGTCCAGGTTCCCCCTCCCCAGAGAACCCTGGCATCCGGTGCTCACCTCGGCGAAGCCCAGCACACGGCCCGTGGCCGGGTCCCGCTGAGCCCGCAGCTCCGAGTGGGCAGGGGTGGGCTCTAGCCCGAACAGCGCCCGGGGCTCCGGCTCCCGTGCCCAGAACCTGGGGGTGAAGGGGGGGGGGGGTCAGAGCTCCCCCATCACTGGCAGCCCCACAACATCATGGGATTGGCCGGCAAGGACCCTACGGCATCATGAGACTGTCCAGAGGAACCCAGGTGTCTGGGATACCCACCCCCCACCCAATCCCATCCAGTCTCCGTGGGTGGAAAGGACCTGGGTGTATGGGACCTTCCCCCAACTCTACTAGCACCCTTCCCAGGCCCTGCAACAACACGGGATTGGTCGGTGTGGGCCCCAAGGCAGCACGGGATTGGAGGGGCCTACTGGCCGTCCAGTGCATTCTGGGATACGTTGGTAGCATTTCTACCCCATAATCCTTTGACTGCAAGGCATTCTGGGTATACAAGTGCCAGGGCAGAAATCCCTGGGAAGCGCTGGTGTGCATCCCAATGCATTGTGGGTAGCCAATAATAGAACAGAAGCCCCAAGGGATTGTGGGGAAGCATTTGCAGCCCACTGAAACAAGTATTATGAGCAGCCAATGGCATTATAGAAGTGGTCAGCAACCCCAAAGCATTCTGGGAAGGCAGTTCTAACCCAGGGCATTGTGGGAAAGGCCCGATAGGCCCCCAAAGCATTGTGGGTAACTAACAGCAGCAGGGGAGAGATCAGTCCCCCTGGAGGACTGAGTAGCCAAGAGCTCCGTGGGATGGGTTAGCAACGCCAGAGGACTCTGGGTAGCCACAACAACCCCAACATGACTGGGTAGTCAAGGGTCCCAATGAGATTGGGGATCCCTGAGCCTTTTGGGTAGCCAAGGGCAGTGCAAGATTGGCCAACAATCCAAAGGGTTCTAGGTAGCCAAATGTCCCTCCACAACTCCAGAAGCTTCTGGGTAGGCCCAGAGAATCGTGGGAGAATCCGACAGACCCCGGAGGCATGGGGTGCGGCTGCCCCAGGGCATGCTGGGATAGCACCCCCCAGCTCACCTGTGGGCACGCTCAAAGTGGTGCAGGGGCAGCCAATCAGGGGAGGCCAGGAAGCGCCGCTCCAGTTCCGCGGCCAAGTCAGGGGCGTGGGGGGGCAGCCCCTGGGGCAGCTGTGGGCACAGCAAAGGGATCAGGGGACGGCAAAGGGGGGAGGGGGGACAGCAGGGGCAGGGGAGAGGGGTCTCACCGTGGAGAGGGGGTCCAAGCCAGGGTTATGCCCCTTCAGCAGCTCAAAGCGCCCCCCACAGCCCAGCTCCAGCAGTGACAGCAGCA